TAATTGACAAGTGTTGGACAATTAATTAATTGTGTTGCTTATTAATAGGCCCGAATTAATTAATTGGATTAATTAATTCATGGACCAGATTTAATTAATTTGATTAATTAAATACTGGATGAGGTTAAGTTTAACAGACGGGTCAAACCCGCTTGGACTTATATTAATATGCTACTAGAGTTTGAAAATTGTATGGAATAATTCATTATTCTTGCTAGCACAAGAAAAGAAAACATTAGTCGTCATTCTTGTTCTCTGTGTGGATCATCATTGGACGCTAGACAATTGGATAGCTTGGATTGCATATCGTGATCATTCGAGTTCGAGAATCAGTAAATGATTTTGCAGAATTCATCAAATGTATTATTCTAAACATAATTTCTATCTAAACATAAAGTAGATCCGTTGTGAGAATTGAAAAATTATTAATTATCTGCTGTGCATTTAAGTAAATTCTCAATAATGGTATCAGATCCTACTTTGTGTTTGTTAGAAATTGTTTCGCATCATATAATAATCAAATGTTGATTGTTGTTATTTTTCATGTTTCTAGCTTTTAAATAAAAATTGATTTTCTATTTCTAAATTTGATTTAGAAACGAAAATTAATTTTGGTCTAAAAAAATGGAACAAAGAAAGGCAGTGGACGGCGTGGCAGCAGCAAGAACCGCATGGGACTACAGCGTGCTCTGGCACATTGCGTAGGGCGAGGCGACGCCTGTTATGTTGCGGCCAATGCCACTGTTTTCTGATGCAGCTCCACGCTGCTGTGACTGTCGTAGCAGCGCCGACTGCACATTCGTCCGTCTACAATTTTGATAAAAGGGTTAAGTTTGAAATTTTTAAAAGGGACCTATTCTGCAATTTGCGAAATTGGAAGGTTTTGATTATAATTTTAAACCTGGGGTCCTATTGCAAATTTCAAAATGGTTTTGAGTTTAAATTTTAAAAAGGTTTTTGAATTATGTTTTAGAAAGTTTAATCCTAAAATTTCAATTTTGACCCGTTTAAAATTATATTTAAAATTGACATTTTTTATATTTTCGTTAAAATTGGATTTTAACTTAAATATTAAACTTTGAATTTTATTTTATTTAGGAGTTTAATCCTAAATTAAAATGTTAATTCAATTTAAATTAGAGTTGGACTCTAATTTTATATTTAGTTAAAATTTGATTTTAATTAAATTATCTACCCTAATATATTGTAGAAATTAGAGTTGGACTCTAATTTGACATTTAATTAAAATTTGATTTTAATTAAATTGTCTTACCCTAAAATCTTTCTTGAAATCAGAGTTGTACTCTAATTTGGTATTTAATTGATTTTAATTAAATAAGTTCAC